AAAATAAGAGTAAGAAGAATAAGCCTTATTAATTTCTTTATTAAAGTGGGGTTTCACTGGGGCCTGGAGGGCCTCTCATTTTAGTGGGAGAACAACACCCTGAAAACAAGCAAGCTTTTGTAATTCTTTAAGAGCATTCAAGATATTCCCTTCCAGCACACATAAATAATGGATTACCTGAGCTTTATTACCTTTTTGGCATGATTTGTCCTTCTCCCAGGTTTGCAGCACTCAAAATTACATGAGCAATTTTCCTGTTTTCCATGGTTCTGGTTCCCCCCTTCCCAGCAGCTGGAGTTTGCTCATAATAACATTTATTGCACAGTCTTTGGGGCCTATTTCCTTACACTCCCTGCAGTCTAATGAATGGTCCATGACACTATTCCAGACTCACTGATTTCCAACCAGTCATTGTTCCACGGATCAGTGTTTTCAACGTGATGACCCTAAAACCCTTGGTTTGGAGGATTATTTCGCTCCAGATCAGCATTTCAGGAAGGTTGCTGTGCTGCTGAGTCAGCACAGATGGGGACATACCCTGATCCAGCTAAAAGAAGTATATGAGAGGAGAAAAAAAAAAAAAAGGCACAAAGAGGTAAAATGAAAAATCATCACGAAGGTTGCAAGGGAAAGGGGATGGTGATGCCACGGTGGAGCAAAGCTGAGATACTGCAGAGACAAGAATATCTGTGCTGATCAACCCCAAAGCCATGGTGTTTGTTTAGCCTGGGAAATAAAAAGCTTAGGGGGAACCTTCTCACTCTCTACAGCTCCCTGACAGGAGGGTGGAACCATCTCATCTCCCAGGTAACAAGTGACAGGATGGGTGGAAACGGCCTCAGGTTGCACCAGGGGAGGTTTGGATTGGATATTAGGGAAAATTTCTTCACTGAGAGGGTGGTCAGGCACTAGAACAGGCTGCCCAGGGAAGTGGCGGAGTCACCATGCCTGGAAATGTCCAAAAACAGTGTAGCTGTGGCCACTGAAGATGTGGTTTGATGGTGAATGTGGTGGTAGGGCTGAGCTGAAGGTTGGACTCGATGATCTCAAAGGTCTTCTCCAACCATAACAATGATAACAATGATTCTGTGATTACATTGTTACAGCCCCATTTTCCTCTCAGTCACCAGTTAACCTCTGGAAAACCAAAGCTTTTCTTCTAGCTTTGTCCCTTCTAGAGGAAGATTTTAACTTCTTAGAAACACATCTAAATCTCCTCACCGTGGTCTGTCTTTGTCCCTGTTTCAGTCTCCAGAGAGGGAGCTGTAAACTTCTTGCAAAAGAAATTTGAATGCAAACCCCAAATAACAGACCTATTCCCACCTATTTTCAAGCAAGGCAAAGTCTAGACTTGGCTGCAAGCTTTCAACACCTAATTTCAGTCCTGATTATAAAATAAAACATGGTATATAAACAAGGAATATTTTATTTACTCACACTGATGTTGAGTAAATTCACCTCCCTCGCTTTTGTTTTCCTTGCACAAACACATTCAATCACCAGGACATAGAAAATTGCCCCTGGATTTTATTAGTCACAGGTGAGGTGTTCTTTCAATTAGATATAATTAAGAAATTCAGTCCAGTATCATAACATAGTCCTAAGGAAATGACACGTCTCTCATATATATATATAAGTTAATATAAGTTAATTATAAGTTAATTATAAGTTAATTATATATATAACTATATATAAGTTAATCCTTTTCTGGATGAGAATTAATTGCTCAAGATTAGTAATTAATCTCTTTTTTTTTTGCAAGATGGACTTCACTTAACTGAACTGCATTTAAGAGCTTCCAAATTTCCAAGAACAAAACATTTCAGCATTTTACACAAATAAAAGCAGGAATCAAAGGACTGTGATTTAACTCTAAAATAGATGACTGTAAGTTGCCTTTCTAAATCCTTGATTTTTTTTCCAAGCTGATACAGCGTTTTACACTTGAACGTGAAATAATTAGGATATTTACAGTGTTGTCCCCCAGAAAAACTGAAAGCTTTTGCCCTGCAGTAGCTGTTGCCTAATTCTAGAGTTTTGAATGTCCAATGTAGAGCTTTTTTTTAACTCCAAGTAACACCCCCAGGTGTTGTGTGTCCCCCCCCACCTTGGTGGTGTAAATTTTAATGACTGTTTTAGGGATACAAAAAGCTCCATCAGTCTCTAGTTTGCAAGCTGTAGAATGTCCAAAATATATTCCAGCAGCAAAAGGCACAGACTCCACCACTCCTGCAAATACAGCAGGAGGTGTGGACTCAGCAATACCTTTTGTTCAGGAATAGGGAGGCAATGAAAACATACATTGTGGTGCTGCCAAAAAAAGACATTAAAGTGGATGCTGCCAATGAAAACAGAGCAGAACTCACCATAACCAGCAGCTCACAACCACACCTCCAGCAAGGCTTCATCAGCCTGTGAAGGTTTTTTTTGTCCTGCAGGTTTTAACAATTGGCAAAATGGGAATATTTATATGAAAGGAATCATTTATTATTACAAACACTCAGACAAAAGATCTTAATCAGAATTATTTACTACACAGTATAAAAGCTAAAACTACCAGTAGTACAGTACAAGATAGGATAGTGCACTATATTTAAGTAATTGTTAGAACAATTATATTAAAGCTGGGAAAAAGGAGATAGTTATTAAGTAGAGATTTGATGTAACTCACCCAGATCAACCCCCAGATCTTTTTCCCTCAACCTCCAGGCCCAGCAGAACCCATCCTCCAGGTATCTCCCAGGAGTTACATCATCAAAACCTTCCCAGAGAATAGTTGGATGAACACACACACTCAAATATTGCAGTCAAAGTGAGGAAGGAAGTCAAATAATGAAGGGTAAGTGTGAGCCAGAATTTACTCTGTGAGTAATCATCTTGCAAACACACACTCCTGGGCCAGTGGAACAGGCAACTGTGGGCTCTTCTCTCCTGCTCTGCTAAATATTTGCCTCTCTTCAACTTCTCTTAGAGAAAAAAAAGAATCATGAGTGCTCATGTTTCCTTTCTCTTAGGAGTTTTCTCCCATATCTTTTTTTCCTCTCTTGGCATATTTTTAGCTCCCAGTTATGTTATGAATACCCAAATAGACCCCAACAAAATCATTCTGCCTTGAAATGGCTTTTGTGCTAGTGTTCCAAGCAATTACCCTTTGGAAACAAATATTCTTTATGATTTTAAGCGTGGAGAGATAACTAAGATTATTCTCTATTAGAAAACTGGATTTTTTTTTTTTTGCCATAAAGGGAACAGGAAGAAAACCATCAGAAGAAATATTCCTCCAGCAAATATTTCTGCTGTCTGAAGCCTGTCACTTCCATAAATCACTCTGTGCTCTGGGTAATACACACGACTGTACTACAAATGAGCATTTAATTAGTGCTCTAATAAAAATACCAAGCACCTCCTGTGCTAATAACCAACATTTGAGACGCTGTAAATGTTTGTCAGGTAAATATCATGGAATTGTGAGGCTCCACCTGACCTCAGGCAAGGAAAATGAGTGAAATGAATTCACTGGCTCCATTACCCAGAGATCAATTGATGGCATCCCACAGTGCTGGTAGGAGATACCAGAGGTCAAGGAAAGGCCATAAACCGGTTCATGGGGAAATGAGCCTCAGGCACAGCAGGGACAAAGCTCAACAGCTATTTTTAGGCAGTTAGAAGTTACAGAAAAAGAGTTTCACATAACCACATAGTGAATTTTATTGCAAACATCCTGGTGGTTTGGTTCTGTGACTCAACCTTGGCTCAGTGCTCTCCAGTAGGAGTCTGGAGGCTTGTCCTCCCACAGGGGTTCAGGGAACCATCAGCTGGTGTGGTGAGGACAGAGAGAGGACCCTGTGGAAGCAGGAGACACTCTGTGTGAGGCAGAGCTTGGTTCTGTACCAAACAATAAAGAAAAAAAGTAGCTCTGGAGGCCAATAAGTGTACATGTGTTTTCAGATGAATTTTTAGCACACACTAAAAATAAATTGCTGGAGATAAGCCTCCCCATTCCAGGGGAGAGACACCACCAGAATTCCATAACCAGAAGGTTCCTGTACCACTGGTGGTACTGAATCTATAAAATTATTTATACATATGCACTGATTTTGTACAAAGAGCTCAAATAAGCTTAAGCATAGTCCGGAGCCTGAATTTACACACCATTTCCACTGTAGTTGCACATCACTCAGTGCCTGCAGCCATCCATATCCCAGCCTGAGGGACTCCAGCACTGCAAAGCTCCTCAGCAATCCCACATTTCCACGTGCCTGACTTCCAGTCCTTCTGCAACTCACCATCCATGTCAGCTCCTCATTGGCAGAGGCAAGTTTGGGACAGGTGAGACAAATCCCAAAGATGCTTCCACCACATGGGACTGGCAACCTGAAGTAAAGTGAATTTAAGGGCAAAAGAGCTCAGTGGTGAGGAATGGTTGGAGATGACTCTTGGGATGAACCCTAAATATTGCTGTCACCCCATCTGAAGGCCACCAAATATAAAAAACTGATTTCTGCTTCTGAGACATCCTTTCAGGATATCTGTCCTATGACACACGTCAGCACCCACCTGTAGGAATATCTGCCCTTTCCTGTGCCCTTGTTGGCTGTTTGAACCACTCAAAGAAATGAGTAATGTGTATCCCAAAAGGAAATACAAAAATTTACTCCCAGGAAAGCCATGTGAACTTGGGTTGGGCACTTTCTGCTGATCATCATCCTCACCAGGTCTAAAACCAGGAATAGAATCAGTAGCAAAAACAGAGACACTTAATCCCCCTCCTTAGCACTGCTGACTGCAAGAGGGAATCTGAATATCTGTACAGACCTGAGCTGTATCTTCCCATAACACAGTCTAGATTTGCTGTTGGACACGAAAACTTCATCTATAATGTATAAGGAAAAATTGTCACCTCAGGATGGAGACTAAAATGCCTCTGAGTAATGTAAGAGCTGCAGTGAGGCAGCTGATAGGACAAAGCAGACACAGTTTAAACTCTTGTCCCTCTCCAGACATCAGCACTTCACACAGGGTTGTAAGCAAATGGTTTTGACACTGTGCTCTCCAGAGCTGGGAATCTTTTTTGTTCAGAAGAAACTGCCAAAATAAGGCACTGGAATCCCAGGACCTTCTCATTTCCATGGCCTCAAGCACAGCTCTTCTAAAAAAGCACTCTGGACACCAGACTGCGATTAGTGTCTAGGTAGGAATCAGTCTTCTTTCTTCATCAAAGGCTTCAAATTAACCTGGAGAAGAAAACAAGGCAATAAGAAAGTCAGACTCAACTGAATCCTCAGCTCAGAACCTGACATAGGTCCTGAGTTTGAACATATTCAGTGCCCACAGTGACCCCACTGAGGCTAAAACAGGATTGTACAGACACACACACTGTTCTGCAGGATGCTTTATTCCTTCACTGAGCTGGATTTGTCTGACTAGATGTTGGCATCTTCTTTATAAATCTCTATAAATCCAAAAGTGAACATCTAAAATATGTCATAAGGGTCATCTTTTAAACTACCTGTTCCTGTCCAAGGATCCAGGTTGACCAGCTCACCTCATGATGTCTCTAAAATCACTGGCTACAGCTACCAGTAGTACATCTAATATTTTCCCTGTCAGAAAAATCACGGAATTCACTTATTTTTTTAATTAATTATAAATTCTCTATGGTTCCCTTTCCTACCTGAAAGTGGCTCAGTGATCCATGGCTGTGGAAAATAATCCCATTTGTGTTTATACAGTTCTAAGTTACTGCAGTGACAAGAACCTGGAAAAATTAATACACTTCTGCCTTCAGACTCTGGAGGGTTTGAGGAGTGTTCAGTAAATCAAGCACAGGGCTTTTGCAAAAGAGAGGTAGAACCCAATGTTGTTTTGCTGCCCATTTGAAAGAGTACCAATATGCTGAATAAAAAAATACCAATACAGGCAAAAAAAACAGAGTGGAATTTTAGTCAATCAAATAGAAAGGGAAATTAAGGCTGCACAGGCAAATTGTTCCAGTGTTTTCAGACTTCTGAATAACTTACACTGCAGTTTCAATGTTACTTTAATTATTTTTCTTCAGCTGCAACCTACACAATAGTATGTTCAGCACTCTCTATTCCAAAGGCATCACTCTGTCACCAGGTGAAAAACAGATTCTATTACTACACTGAAGATTTTGAAAACTCTTTTCTGATTTCAAGTCAGAACACAAATGTTTGCCATCTGCAGTGGATCAGAAATTGTGAAAAACAGCTCTATTTCAGCATTGAAGTGTGCAGCTTTCATTCCATCTTCTCAAAAAATAATAACTAAAATTAGCTCTGTAGAAATTTCGGGGGGAAGAGAATACTTAACTTAAGTAAAATTTTAATTTTCATTAAAAAAATAAAATTAACCATTAGAATTTTTTTATTCCTCAAAAATAAATACTGGAAAAAACAAATACCTTTTCAGTGTCACTGATGTTTATCTTCACTTAGTAGTTAATTAACGAGTTCAGGCTTTTCCATCTTCCTTTGAAGGCAGTGAAATAATACCTTTTTTCTTTAAGTTGGATCAAAATTTATCCCAACATACTTGGGATACCCATAACCAAGTAGGCTTTGTGTCTTTTGTTAAAACCTTTTTGTTGACTGAACACATGACACTGTACAAATGCTACCCAGAATATATAAGATGGAGTTAGCAGGGAATGTGCAGCTGAACAGGGAGGAAAAGCTCATGTGTGGGGATTTTGAGCCCAAATCTGCCACGTCGAATCTTGGCAGAAGAGCTCAGAATTTTATCAGGTTCTGTGCTCTTGGTGCACAGAGAGGAAAAGCATTTATTGCTTGAAATATTTATTCTGAAAGGTGTTGCTTTAAAGGTCAAAGCAGGACCCCGGTGGGTGGTGCTGGCTGGGAGTCAACCATGACATGTAGCAGAGATGTCCTTCAGTGGCATTGCATGGGATGCAACTGGCTCAGTCCATCTGAAGTCCTTCCCTGTGAGGGTGGGGAGGCCCTGGCACAGGTTGCCCAGAGAAACTGTGGCTGCCCCTGGATCCCTGGAAGTATCCAAGGCCAGGTTGGACGGGGCTTGGAGCAACCTGGGCTAGTGGAAGGGGATTGGAAAGAGTTGATCTTTAAGGTCCCTTCCAACCCAAACCATTCAACGATTCTACGAATCCATGATCACAATTTCCATTTGCTGATCCCCTCAAGATTACAAGAAGCTCCTGACACTGTTACAGCCCTAAAATGAAAGCCCAAAGTGAGCAGTGAACAACAGAAAGAGACCAGAACAGGAGAGGTTGGATGAATTTGGAGCAACTTGTTCTAGTGGAAGTTGTCCCTGCCTGCGGCAGAGGGTTGGAAACTGTTGATCTTTAAGGTCTCTTCCAACTCAAACCATTCCAAGATTCCATGATTCTGTGATCTGACTGACTGGTCACAGGAGGTAATCTGGAAACTGGTATCTGTAGGAGGTGGAAAAATGAAGGAAGCTTCGCCCCTCAAGAAGGAACACGCTATGGAAGCAAAGATGGACTTTTATGAACTGTTTCAGAGTGTGTTTCGTGTTTAATATTGTGTTTTCTTTATTTATTGTAATATTCCCCTCATTATTATACCCTAGTTTTCCAGAACTTTCTCTCATCCCTCATGGCCCTAAACCCTGTCCTCTTATTGGTTAATTTTTGATGCAATGCAGCACCTTTCCCTGTATGGTTTTACCACCCTGTTAATTTACATACTCCTCCCTTGCTCCTCCCTAACTCCACCTTTTCTTCCAGAGGGTTCCCACCTTACCATATAAAGGCGGGAGCCATTTTGTGTTGAGTCATCCTAATAAAACCTTTTCACCTGGATGCCAGAAGTGTCCCAGTCTCATTCATTCGGAGTTAACCGTGGCAGGTTTCCAATGCATCTTGGAATGCTCATGGATGTGCAGGATGTGCAGGACACCTCCTGCCAGATTAGTTGCTTCTGTTTGAGTCCTGCCCTGGGAGATATTCCCCCTTGGGAATGTGGGAAATGTGTCCTTCATCACAGACCCACCCTGCTCACACCAGTTGACTATCAAGATTATCCTTCCAGTTTCTCTACCTTTCCATCTTCACTGTGATCTGGGGAGAATGTTTATTATATGGGATATGTGAGGTGCTTCTGACACCTACATTGCATGGGAGAAATTGTTCCTATTACTAATTATCCAGCTGGCATTGAAGAAATGTTTTGCTTCATTAAAACCAGGTTCTGAGGATTGGTTTTGTTCCCCTCCATCTCCACACACTGTGTTCTGTCACTTCAACAGGCTCTCCTCCCGGGAGACTGGACTTAGTCAAGATGTTTGGTAATTAAAAAAAAATGAATAAAAAGACAAAAGAGAGAGAGAAAGCAGACTGTCTAATTAAAAACAATCTCTGAGGAGTAGCCATCCCTCAGCTTAATATTTGTTCCTAAGTTTTTAATTACTCTTTGTTGTCCATTGTTATGAGGAGGGGCACAGGGTGTTCATGGCCTTTGTGGACAGACCTGTCCAGTTTGGTTGATCAGTCATTCCCATTAGCAAGAAGTTACCAAAGATGTGTATTTTTATCATGTTCTGCAGTATGGATTTGTTTTCAGGATCATAAAAGCAAGTACCTCTGACAACTTCTGGTGAACTTCAGCCACAGAGCCATAGCTCAGAATGATATTCCCTGCAAAATTCCTTTTCCCCAATGAACTTGCACTGTCTGAACCAACATAAACTTTCTGATTGCTGTGTCAGACCTGAAATCACACCTCTGTGGGATCATAGACTCATGGAATCATAGAATGGCCTGGGCTAGAAGGGACCTGAAACATCATCTAGTTCCAACACCTCTGTTTTGGGAAGAGACACCTTTCACTAGACCAGGTTGCTCAGAGAGCCATTTAGTGATGAGACCCAAGAATTATTCACACACAACAAAGTTCAAGCCAACAATAAGTGTTTTAACCTGTGTGCTGTCCGTGCTTGTCAAAGTCTGGGTTTTGTGTTCACTGAATGCAGAGAAGCAGAGGTTGTACCCAGATAATCTGTTCAGATAATGCGCTTATTCATCTCCTTTAATTAATTAAAAAATGCTGATTGCTGTGGTTAGATTCACCTCATGTATCATTCACCATCTCCAATAGGCATTTACCCATGGATCAGTCAGCCCAGAATCCCTGTATCCCTCAGTAGAAAGGATGCAGCTCTGTGGGTCTATTTTGGATGGGATGAATTGTGCTCTAGACCCCAACCCCAGGTCTAGGGAGCACAAAGAGAACCCTAGAGAAACATCTGAGATATAACACCTCTGCCACAGACATTTATGCTTTTGCAGTTGAATTATACACCAGATATTTCAATCATTCATCCCTCTCTTAAAGTCACATATTCCTGTAGTACCTAATTTTCTCTGGCACAGCAGCCTCACCTCCATTTCTTCACCCGGTGAATGTCACCCCCCAGTCACCTCCTGCCTTGTCCCCACTCTCCATTCTGGCACCAGTTGGATTATGCAAACACCAATCCAACAAGTTCAGCTTGATTTGCAACCTCAAAATAGAAACCTGCCCGTGGAAAACTGATGTCTGTGACATTGCATTAAAGGTTATTTCCCATCCTGGTGCATTAAAACCTTCCCTGGCAGGAGATGAGCACTAGAGCAGCAGCAGTTTAAATTCCCCAGGGAAGAGGGCAGTGAGAACCCAGGCACAGCAAAAGGCAGTGAGCTTTTATTTTCTTCACAAGCGTTGAGGTTGTGCTGAATACGAAAAAAATCTCCTGTTCTGGTCGTTGCAGCTACAGCAGTGAACTCTAACAAGGATTAATTATGTGTTATTCCCCTCTCATTTCATTGTTTTGTTAAGGGAACCATTACCTGCCACCTTGTTGTCAAACCCTCTTTTGATGCTTCAGTTTTGGTGATGTTTGAAGGCAATTCAGTGGAGAGGCTTTTGATGGGGGCAGAGTAAAGAACGAGGGGTGACCATTCCCAAATATTTCCTTATGGCTGGTGAACAAGAGAACTGGCACCTGGCTGGGGAGCAATGGAGTGTGGGGGGGTCTTCCCACCCATCTCCCCTTTTTCTTACACTCTTGTAACCCACACAAAGCTTCTCAAAACCTCGGGGTTGACAAAGGATTTGTGTTCGTGCAGGCAGGAAGTACCATTATCTATTTTTTTCCAGTTTTATATATTAACATTTACACCCCCGTGAAAGCCTGGGGCAAACATGCTCTTAACTAGTTACAAATCGGAAGCAGGGAAGTGTTAAGATGAGGGAAAGCAGAGGGTTTTTGCCCCAAAGCAAGGGAAGGATGATGCACCTGCAAATGTAGCAGGTCAGTTTACATGTAAAATTGTGAAATATGAGGTTTTACTGCAACAAATCAATGCAATTTTTGAGAAATTAATTTCCTATTCCTTCCTTGTTTCTTAGAGGAGTCATAACAAGGACGTGATGAAAATCAAGGTGTGGGTTTGATTGTTCCAGAAGCTCTTGGAAAACACAGGACCCCTCCACGTCAGGTGCTGTGCACAGTTAAACCTCCAAAACAGTTTGGGAAGTTAATCTTTAAGAGGGTTTTTCAATGAGACACAACCAGGGTGTTGCATAAACAAGACTCAGATGTTAAATCCCGACCCCAAGCCCTAAATCTGCTGCCAACAGGAGGCTGAACTCTCCATAAATTATGGTCAAATCACTTCAGCCCCTTATCCAGTTGGATTTTCACCTACATGGCAAGGAGCTGTCACATCCAGAGGTATGATACTGCATAAGAAGAGAAGTTCCTTTTTTATTTTCCAGTGATTTCATGCTTTAAATACAAGGATTTAGAAATAACGCAAGACATGAAGAATACAACTTTTTCCAAAAAACCCCCCCACACCCATTCTCCACTGTCTTCTTAAAGTTTTCCCACACCTCAGTCTTTTCTGGACACCTTCATCTGTCTTTGTATGTCACTCAAAAGGGGGAGCATAAAAACTGTCTTAAATATAACTGTTATATAAATAACATTTTAAAATGTAACTGTTTTATATAAATAAAAACAATTGTGGTTATCTTTTACTGGAGTATGTTGTGATAGCAGACCCAGTGCCATTGTTTCCTTGGAAGAAAGTGTGACAGCGTAAAAAATTGGGATAACTTGTGCAGTGCTCTCCCCTGTGTCACCCAAAGGGCACATTTTTTATGCAATGCATATCGGGAAAAACTGTCCCAGCTTTTCCTGCTGTTCTCTTCTTCTTGATATTGTCTGACCTACCTTTCAGACCAAAAGATGTGTCAAAGTCTTCAATGAAGAGAGTAAAACTTGGGAAAAAGTTAAAAACAGCAGATGTAATGCAACAGAAGGGAACATCATGTCAGAGATGTGGGACAAATGCCATTTTTCCTTTTCAATTCTTCTGTAATTTTTCCAAATTTTCCATTTTCCAGCAGATGTTTGAAGCATAAAATTTGACTTGACTGGTAAGGAATAGTTTTATATCCATAAGGATATGTTGGTTTTTTTCTTTTCCTCTCTCTGAAAGCATCTCTCAGAAGATCCAAAAAACAGAGGACAGGGTCAGGCTTCCTGAGATTTGATATCACTTCACTCAAGAATTTCTACCATAATCAATTTTAAGCATTGACAGTTCATCACGATAAAATCTCAATCACAGCATCACTTCTAATTTGTACCACGGTACAAAGTTACTCCCTGCAGGGTCAGGAGGGTGATATTAGGTGCAGCAAAGCAGATTTTATGGTTGAATAAAGGGCTTTTTGTCACTAGGTCCCAGCTCATATTTTAGGTTTTCTATCAAAATGGGGAGATGGATCAAACTGCCATTAAAAACTTGGAAATCTCATGATCCAACCTGCTATGTCAGGGGCTCTCCAAAAAGAAAAAAAAAATTCTAATTCTTGGTAAAATAAAATAAAATAAAATAAAATATAAAATATAACATAAAATGAAATAATATAAATTACTGTTCACAGTGCCTGTCCTGGGATACCTCTTCCAGCATTTATCATTACTCCCCATCCATGTCTAGTCCAATGAAAATTAGATGGGATAAAAGGCTCTGTACAGTGTTTACAAATCTTTCAAGTCTGGAATTAGGGAATCTCTAAAACCTGGATGGTTTTTGTGGGTCACCATATGTAATACAGGAGTTTGCAAGTGTCTTCCATGCAATAAATTACTTTCTTAGATAAGCATATAAAGCTTGAAAGGTGCTTTGTTACAAACCCAGGCAAAGTTCTCAGCAGATTTCTCACCATGGAGTTGATTCTGTTCCACTGACCACACACCCACAGATATCACCCTTGGGCAGCAGGACCAAACTTGTCACCTCCTGAACTCAGCCACGTCTTGTGCCTTGAATTCCCTCAGAATCATCAAATCATAAAATTGTAAAGGTTGGAAAAGACCTTTAAGATCATCAAGTGCAACCATCAACCAGCACCACCACCACGTTCACCACTAAAACACGTCCTCAACAGCCAAATCCACACATTTTTTTGAACACTTCCAGGGATGGTGACTCCACCACTTCCCTGAGCATCCTCTCCCAATTCTTTACAACCCTTCCCATGAATAAATTTTTCCTACTACCTAATCTAGACCTCTGTACTGGTGTTGTGTGCAATGTGTGAACCAGATCTACTGATCTGCCTGAAAATTACTTTTCTCCCCTTCCTCTTTGGTGGGTCCATTTTGTTTAGAGAGGTCAATCCCCTGGTTCAAGTCAGATTAATTGTCAGGGTTTTTTAACTTGCATTTGTTAACGAGGAAAAAGCTGGAGTCTCTTTCTGGTGTAACATGTTCAGATGACAGCAGCTTCAGTTTTAGGTCTGCTCAATGAGATCACTCCTGCTGTTGGGGATGTGTGACAGATTCTCATGCAAGCAGCTCAAGCAGACCAGAAAACCAATCTTTGAAACACTGACCCTGTGTGGAAGAACTGTCTCCAAGCTGTTAATTTTGCAGTTCTCTTTTGGTGGAGATTGAAGAACCAACAAACAAATGTCAGCAAGCTGTTTTTCCATTTTTGACTTTTTGAGTTGAGAAACATTCATGGATTTCCTGAGAAAACTCTGAGGATCTTGAAAAACAAAAAAGGTTTGTAATCAATTAATTTATTTAGTATCTCTTATCCTGCATGTTCTGATTACTCTTCGTGTTGCAATTTTAGTTTTAGGAGAAAATCTGTTAACAGACCATCCATAAATGTCTGAGGCACTTTCTTCAGTGTTATTTCATTGTCTTACATTGACTGATAAAGATTTTTTTAGCCTTAATTGATTATTTTTTTCATCTTAGTGTATCCAATTTAATACTTTCCAAAGTAAATATTGCCTGCTGTGACTCTGAGAACACTGGGCTTTGAGTAAAGGATGAAGAGAAAAGTCATCATTACAGAAAGAATTGTCCATCCCTTGGGATCTTTTGGGTGCCCAGGGCAGCTTTGTTTTGGCTGGATCCAGAATTACTGGATGAATGTCAAACCAATTTCTGTGGGATAAGTATCAGAGAACTCTGGAATAAAAGTGTTGGCTGTGCCTCTGCAGCTGCCGACCAGATTTAGGGTCTGTGTGCCAGTTCCTCACCTTCTGATTTGGGGATATGAAGGCCCACCCACAACCTCAAATTCCTTTTGGGCTTCGAAAAATGGTAGATGTTTAATCTAATTTAAAGCAAATAGATTTTTGATGAAGTGATTAGCACTCCCCTGCACACAC